GGCCTTTCAAATGCTGTTTCAGGTCAGGTGTCCACAACTATGATTTCTCAGTAACCAGATGTTCTCTGCTGTTCTTATTAAAATGTATTGTTTAATTTTAAACAAACATTTCAAATTAGCTTAATGGTAATGCTCTGGGGGATATGAATTTCTAGAATCATTTTTCAGGCACTGGACAAAACAAATGCTGGCCTACATTTTTGGAAAGATGAGAGATTTCAAGTGCCCTCAATATTTAATACCTAAAATCAGATGTCACAGGAATAACAGGGAATAGTTACTTGATGAAAATATGGTTCATTTAAAGAGGATTAAATTGCACATAAAAATTATCCGCCCTTTTAGAAAATTTAGATTGTTTTTAAAAAATTAGAAATCCTGGTTTTATCTTACAGTTTGCTATTACATTGGTGACCATAATTTTTTTTTTTATTTTTTTTTTTTACAGAGTAGATCCTTTACACTAAAATTCTAAATGCAACTAAGACTTTGGAAGCTCAAGACTTTCCTTTGGCTATGCCAGGCAGAATTAAAGGTACCCACGGCACCTAGGAATACTGGGGCATGCAAGGAGATCCCAAGTGACTGCAGCTCAGGCTGTACAGACCTGCTCTCCTATGGGGTTTAAGTTTCACACATTAAAGCAAGTGGGCTTGGTCCAACTAGACTGAGGAGGGTGGAAGTGAAATATTCTGGAGTGATGAAATTACTTTGGACAACTTAATGAAAAAAAATGCTCCGATCCCACTGAGCCATTAAATGATTGATTTCCACATGGAAGCACCCATCTCCTCTGACAAGCCCTTGACAAAGCTGTTTCTTTATTTTCATGTGGAATGGTTCTTGACCAAAAGATTAAAAAGACTGAAGGGAAAAAGGGACAGAATGGGTTATGAGCCCAACAGACAAAAGAAAATATGTTGAAAAAGAAGTCTGATGTATTTGTGCATTCCTTAAACATACAGGTAGCATTTGCAGATGTTTGGATTGCTTAACATTCAGGGTAAGTTGGTGGCAAATCATTTGCTGAAAGACCACAAATACTTTTAAATATATAATTTAACATTTTCCTTTGACAGTTGTCTTTAAGTCCTGATACGTCAACAAAGTTAACAGCAAAACACCAAAACTAATTTCCTTGAGATCACCAAGCAACTACCTTTTGGTAATTTGGAGCTCTGAGGTTCTGTTAGAACTTGAAATCCCAATGGTCAGCATTGGATTGCAAGTGGCATCCCAAAGCACTCTGAATTAAGCTGGTGACTCAGCCAAGCTACCAAAGCGATCATGGCTGAACACGTAGGAGTCTTGCAAACCTTGGCAGCCCTGATGATGACTGTTAATGGCCAACTTTTGCCATGTACAAAAGCTGAATTTAAAATGTGAATGCTGTAAATACCTGTCACTTTAATTATTTTTGGAGCTAAGTGCCCTCAGATATAGTCTTTTCTAAACTATTGAAAGAATGTGAACATCCTTACAGCCATAGTCATACTTCAGTTCCTTCCTCCACTGGTTTTTGTTTCATTCATGACTTCTGAAGTCTGAAATACTGTAAAAATTTCTAAAATGAGTGTAATGAGTCCAAAGAGAAAAGTTTAACTTTTGTTTTCTTTAAATCCTTAAGAGATATATATCTAAATCCTTTCCCCAATTCTATCAGACTACATTATTTCCCTCCTTGCACAGTGTATTGTCCACCTCAAAGGCGCTGTGGTTATTGCTAGGATAAGCTAGTTCAGATCAGTACAATCTGTTTTCAGCGCCAGCGGTTGATTACACTATTGGCAAAGGACAAGTCTGGCGAATTTTGCGTTCTCTCTAGGAAGCGAAGATCCCCTTGCTTCCTACCGAGACCCTTTGTCAGGGGTAAGACCGGTTGCCTGTTAATGCGCTCCCCGGCAGGCAGGAGCAGAGGGGGCTGTGGCGTTGGCTCCACTTGCGGGGCCGAACAGCAGAGCCAAGGCTGCGGAGGTGGCAGCTGGTAAACCCTTGTTGGTTTAAGCCAGGAGTAACATTTTGCCTGGGAACAGACAAAAATGGGAAGACTTAACTCAGTATCAGTGTTCTTAGGGAATACACTGGTTAAGTCTGTAACTGGAATGTAGAAACTAACTCTAAAAATTGGAATATATATCTACCCTTTAGGACTAATTAAAATGAAATGCTAATTCAGGAAGCTCTCATGCCACGCACCACAGGCTCTAGCTGGGTTTTGCCACACACTACCAAATTGTCTCCATGTCTGAAGTAATCGTGCCAAGAAAGGAAACAGCATAGTAGTACCCATTGTACAGGTCCACCGCTTTCATTCAGTTCCTGTGGATTCAATGGCAGAATTAACTGCAAAATAAAATGCATGTAATTGGATTAATTAACAGTACATTTCAAGGTCTTGAAATACAGAATTATCTGTGGGGTAAATGCACAATGCAAGTTTTTCCTGTGAGCAGAACAAGTGCTATTTTTGGAGCTGTATCTGCATCTCATCAAGGTGTGCCTTGCTTCAAAAGCTGCTAGGGTAAGAAATGGGGCTTTGAAGGGTGAAGATAAATACTATAATTAGGGCTGCAGGATAACAAAAGGATTATTCTTAAATATAAAATCATTTGAGTGAAGTTGCTTGAAAAATAATTATACCTAAAATCGCTTGCATGGGTCTAATATTTTCTTTACGAGGACTTACAAGACTCATTGAATATTTATAGGCCTGGAACATAAGACTGGATGAAATTTAAAACATAAATTCAATAGCAATTTATTATGATGAAATTCCCTAGCGGTTGTTGCCCCAACCTTTTAGCCTTAATAGACAGGCTTCATGTTGCAGAACACAAGCCCATGTGATAAATGATATCAAAGCTGAATGCCCTTGATTGATGAACGCTGCCTCATTTGATGACTGTAAAACAGTCCTGAGGGCTGATCTCACCACTATTTTGGTGGTTTTCCTTTTTTTTTTCCTAAATGCATGTATTGCAGAAGGGTTGTTTGTGCTTCTGGTATTGTTATCACATGCAAATGAGCATGCTGTTTCCCAGATGCAGATTTCATATTTATAGATTAAATACAGCCTGAAAAAATCATATGTTAATTACATTCTGAGGGTGTAGCAGAATTTCTCACTTGAACATGTTTTGTTTTGCTGGAAATAGTGCAAAATCCAGATCAATGTATTTAGTTGCTTGAAGCTTGGTAATAAATATATCACGCTTTAGAAAAAGCTTTCTAATCATTACTATTACTAATCATTTACCATCAGCTCAATGCTTAGGCTTCTATCCCACGTTATGTATTTGTTTATTTGTTTTTAATAATCTGTACTTCTCAGAAGAAAACCAATACTATAGAAAAGGGGCTGGGGAACGGTTATGGATCACAGCCAAACAAGCAGATTATCAGAGATCCGCCAGCAGAGGAGATCTCGGAGATGTTTTGAGAGGAACAGGACTCCCTGCAGTTGGCTCAGTTACCTATAAATGGTCTTTTTTTTCTATTGCCTGTAAAGGTCCCATACCACATACAACCTGCTGAAAATCCATGTTGTAGGGGTTCTTCCTGTCGTATATAGTTTGCTATGGCCAAAAGAGGCACTGCAATCCCACGAGAGGCCTCACTGCTCACTGGTAACGGAGATGTCCAAAGAAATATGGCTCCTCCTGAGACAGCAAGGGAAACCCAACAGGCTGGTTCAGTTGCAGATTTAGAAACTGTTCAGTGGTAGATGTTGGCTGGTGGCTTTTACGCTGAGAACTAGCACAGATGTACTTGCATCCCAGCATGTCAAAGGACACGCCAAAAATATTTAGGAAAAACGTGCTCAACAGGGAGCGTAGCAATTCTTGGATTTCAAATCAGGCCAGTTTTGCCCTTGAGCATTGTGTTATCAAAGGCAATGCTGAGCAGAAGCCCATTACGACAAAAGGGGGGGAAATTTTTGAGAAGTCAATATATGACATTCAAATTACTTTCTTGTTTACTGTCCCAACAGTCGCAAATCATCAAAAAACAAAAAGAGGAAAGCTTAACATAAACAGTGAACTTCATTATTACGAAGAAAAGTCTGACACAACAGCCATTCAAATCAATAGAAAACATCTCACTGGTTCTTATTGGGGCAGGATCAAGCCTATACAAAGAAAATAGGGTTTCTTAACAAGTAGTTAAAAATACGACCCTCTTATTTCTATAAATGTAAGTCCTTTGATGACCAATTATTGATTCAAAAATATGTCCATAATTACCGGGCTGGCAGGAATGATCAGTATGGACTTCAAGCACAGATAAATCCTACTTTAAAATAGCCTGCTGCAGTATATTACACTATATCCTGAAAGCCACAAACAAAAATGAACAGTACCAAAATACACAGTAAATTGAAAATACTTTTTTTCCCCTCCCTTCATCCCTTTTTACAGCTCTCATAAATCTTTTAGTAACTAAGTAGATCACAGAGGTACCAAAGAAACTGGCAAACTAAGAGGTAGTTTACATAACAAAGCATCTCTGCAGTTCTGGAATCTGAAGCCATGTACGGCTGTCAGGTGCTGTACCAACCTTCCTGCTCTAGTCCCGGGACCCAAGAGAAAATGCAGGCATAGGACTGTTCGACCACATCAGCTCATCTGAAAGCAATTCAGGTACTTCAAGGGCAGTACAAAACATGCCTATACTGCTCGCTTTCCCCAGGTATCAACAATCCGCTTGCTTTTTGCCCCCCTGATCATTATGCAGTCATTATGTTGATCTTTCAGTCTTAAGAAAGCTTTCATCTTAATAATTTTATACTCTGTTTATATAAGTAATCTTGGCTTTATGAACATATATGTGTGTGTCACGTACCTGAATACATTCAGATTGGTATAATTGGAAAGAAAACTGCTACTGCAGTTTGGTTAGGATGCAACATGATCAGAACATTTGATGTAAGCTCTGCGTGGTGAAGTGCTCCACCGTGTACAAGAAATCATCCTCCCTTTGAGGCCTAACAACAAAAATTTTGCGTGTGCTCAAGGAGTAGATTTCTCCTATGTGATCTTACAAAACGATACGGGTCTGTGATGAGCTGGTACACTAGAGACAGTGTGCTGAATTAGAGAAATTGGACAGTTTGAAGTAGCAGGCAACTCCTGTGATGTTGGTATGTTTGAATAGAGTAATAATGCATGTCTTACTATCTCCTCTAAAAAGAAACCAAGAGAAACCCAAATCTAATTACATATCCATCATTAAAGTGCTCTACATAGACTGCTGGGTATCAACTGTAGTGTTGCAATTCACTGAAGTCTTAGGACAAGATCCTGATAGGCTTTTCTTTCACTTTCCCATGAATGATGTTTCTTCACGTAGTCTTTGGCCCTTGTTACAATTTCTCTTTCCATAATGGGGTCATTCATCAAACTCTTGGACAGCACAACAAACTCCTAAAAAAGATAGAGAAAGGAATAAATTAGAAGTTCCTTGAAGTTCTAATGATACTGAAATAGCTTGTACCCGTATCTTGATTTTGGTAAAGCACTTCAACTGCAAGCCAATATATAAAGCTGTTCAAACTCATTTTTCAAGGTCAAGTACCAGAGTTTATTTGTAAACGATCAATAAATAATTATTTTATGTATTATTTTACACAGCCCACCAACTAAGATGTTTAAAATGAAAGACAATCCCAAGAGCGTTAAGACAAATATGAGCAACAAATTTAATGACGCAAAAATTGTTTGCGTACCCAAGTGTTAGAAAACCAGTCTGATTATAAATTAAATAATCTTCCTGGTCTCCAGCATGGAGGGCAACTCACATTGGATGTTTGATCTCAGCTCAGCTAAACTTTATCTCATTGCTACTGTGACATCTTTAGTTAATTTTATGTTAAGACTAAAAAACTCACTACATAAATATAGTCACAGTATAACGATAAGAGCAGACAGCAACAAGCTCTTCTGGAGCAGTTGCATCTGGGCAGTTACAGACAGAGCAGTTTTAGCTCAACAAGCTCTGCAAAAAAGCCATAGATGAATTTCCTGTAAATTTACTGGGCAAAATACTAGACCTCTCAGATTACAACTGTTCCTTTGCCTGCTCCTCTGCCACTCTGATTTAGTTCTTGGGAAGAGAAATTGTGAACTTCAAACATGTGAAAGGAGATTTGATGTCTGAACTAATCTATTCTGAGCAGCTGGTCTAATTTTCCATCAAGAGACAACTTCCAATACTTCAGCTTGATTACAAATGTGCTCAGCTCTTTGCAAAATAATGTCTTGGTTCAGCTCAAAAAAGCAGATAGCTATTGTGTCAATGGAAAACTAAGATAATGCATTACTACACGATTGGTAGTGAAGATCAGTGCATAGGGACGTGGGGACAAAAAGGATGGGGGAAGGAGATACGTTATTTACACAGTCTGTCAGCTATGAAAGGAAGTATCATAAATATCAACATAGGTTAATGAGCAAAGTATACTTGAAAAACCTAAGTACATGGGGTATATAAATACATACACAGATATAAAATCTCTGGTTACCACAGAATCAATGTTGCTGTTGTAATGCAAGTGATGGCTATGCATAATACATAACTATAACGTGACCCCTGGGAAACGCTGATAGGTGAAATCACGTTGTACATGTTATAATCACTCCTTTGACTCTCACTGACAGGACAAACTATCAATATATGCATCACTGCCATGAAATTTAAATAGTCAGAGATACACATCAGTTCTGTTGGAAAGGTTTGTAACTAGGTAATAGAATAAGATTATTTCCATACATGCATATTAACAATAACCTCTTATTTTACATAAAATCAGTAATGCTGCTGTGCAACGCTGAAAGAGCAGCCTCTGGCATAGCCGTGAGGGCCACATGCTTAATATCCAGCCTGCTTTTTATCCACAACCACCTTGCGTTCAGGTACTGCTAATTTAACTCAGGTATTCAGTTCCTTACTTGGAACCCATGTGGTCTGAAGAGGGTGTTTTCTGCCTTTCTGAGAGTGTCCCTAAAGAAGACAGGCAAGGCTGGTCTAGAGAGTACCCCGAGGCTGCGTCTATCAGCCACTGCGGATACAGCCAATAACTCCAACTTTAGAGACACGTTCTTTGCCTTCCTCCATATCTGCCAAGAATACAGAACACGGAAGGTGGGAAAGTCTTACATGACTTATGCTGGCTTCATCCAATTGCCTGTATAATCACAGTAATAAATACCGTTCACACTGAACTACATTCCAACTTTAATTTTATGCTCCTGTGGAGGATTTTATTTAAAGTAATGTTTAAAAATAATTTATGTAAATTACCTAAGAACAGAAGCAGCAATGTAACATTTCTTGACAGGTAGTCCTATTAGCATTCTTTTAAAATGTGGATATAGAGGACAAAAACTTGGAAACATGTAAATGATACAAGAAATGAGATCCTTATTCACAGTTACAACGCTTAATGCTGGGGATAATTTCAGGAAAATGCCAAGCTGAGTCCAAAGCATAAAAGTTGAGAAACTGCAGAAGGGAGAATTAGCAAATGGAAAAATACCAGGAGACAGAGAATAAGGACTTCTCAGCTTTATCCCTCCTTCTTCTGCTAATCAAATGTGACCACCTACAAGTCACTTGCAATCTGACTGGAAGCCAATGGGAAGATTCACTATGACTTATCTGGGTTTTGCCTCATACCCTTCGAGCAGCTGGCTTAGCCTGTTTTCAGTTTTGGATGCTCAGCTTTAGATAGCGATAACTTCATTTTTCAGGTGTCTCCCTTAACTACAACTGACTTGCATTTCAGTTGTAGTTTTGTGGTAAGTCTGAAGCATGGGCTTGCGGAATGCAGACATTCTGAATGCAAAGCTCTTCCAGAAAATCAAGCACTTCATTTTTCTTTTTTAGAAGCCTATGATATACAAACTACTTATGGTGTGGTAACACGTTTCTATCAGCTGTTATACTGTAACTATCTGTGCAAGTGATAATTTGCACAGATATTTATGCACTCATCTTTTGCTGTAGATGTGAAGTAAGCTTCGCTTTTGGTGAAAGAGGGGCAAAATTCACAAATTACTTTTCAATTATCAAACATAAGGGTATGCACTTCAGGAACCAAAATGAAGGAGGTGCTAACTTACCACTTGGGGGACATCCATATTTCTAATAAGCCTTTTATTCACATACAGAAATGGGTATAATTACTCTACATGTAACAGAAAAACACAGTGTAAAAGTTGAACCTCAGTAGTTATCCATAAGCCAGAAAAAACAGGGGAAAAGATCATCTTATGTTCATCCAGAACTGATACTACACATGCCCTTTTTATGGGTAGTACTTCACTTCAAACGCAGGCATTTTTCAACAGCAACATACATAATACATTTTTCTCCTGGTAAATTGACCAATCATCTTTAAAGAAAATGTCAGCTTCTCTATATAGTACCTAAAAGAAAGTCTGTAAAACATTTTTCAGAGACCCAGGAATATACAGGTATCTGGGAGAGAAAGCTAGAAAATGAGTGCACTGAGTAAAAAGAACGAATATTCCTTCAATAACCACAAGAACTACACCGGTGTCACAGCTCACGCATAATGAAAATAAGATGCATGGGTAATACATTATTTATATAACAAAAGTAAGTCTGCAATTAAACCATTTCATATCAGCTTCAGCAGATAAAAGTACATGATTCTTAAACAACAGAGAATCACCCCAGGGAAGGCAAATGACAGATGTATATTTAGAATTGCAACAGATCTACCTAGTGGCAGGCAAAGCTCAGAAGTTAGCTGGAACATCTGTGTACTTCATAGGGCAATGGGCCAGTATTTCTAGGGGAGTATAAACAGTGATTGCTGGCACTGCCAAAAATTGCAAATTAGTCTATGCAGTGTGAAGGTTCAAAGGTCTAAGAACCTAAGATTGGTTATGTTCTGGCTTCAGCGTATTGCTGCCCGTACTCAGCTGAGCTGCGTTTCCCTCTTACCACTTCAAAAGTTGTCTCTGCTAACAGTAGTCTTGCCACATCCCACTGGCTTTCAAACTCTGTTTATGCTTGGCCCCTTTCTTATTGGCTTTGGAGTTTATTTACCTCCTTCTGTGAGCTTTCACAGATGCTGGACATATAATTTTGAAACTCAGAATGCTGAATGACTCTTTGTGTCTTCCCTTTTAACATCATTTTGTGTTATTTATTGCCCCAAAACCTACTGGCTATTCTTATCTCTCACTTAGCATTTTTTCTTTCAGGTCCCATTAACTCAGTGTCAAATATTCCATAAACTTGCAAATTCAAGCAGTGGCAGGATCAAACCATGATTTAAAGTCATGTGCACAGATGATGTACTGTAAAGGACAAAACGTTTCATAGCTTTCACTTTTACATTAACTGTTTCCGTCTGAGCATTGTCTTCTGTGATCGGCAAGGCTTTCTCTACTTCCAGTCATGAAGTCTCACTCTATGTGCAAATGGTTAATGATGACTACAATCGCACACAAAATTTCCTACTTTCCTGTAAGCCACAAAAGCTCACTTTCAGCAAGAATAAAAGAAGAAAACCAACAGCATTCACAATTTAAAACAATTCTCATTGTGTAATGCTCAATTTATATCCCTCTAATTTAGCTTTCAAAAGATAATATAGTCCGCAGACCAGACACAATTGCTCATATCTAAGCTAACCATATCGTAAAGCTTTCCCTCCCCAGATTAGCAACAACTGGAAAATAAGCAATGCTTTCTACTCTTGACCCATGATACGGTCTGTATCATCACAACCAGATAGGATCCACTAAACTTAGCAATAAAAACTTCTTTGACATTTTTTTAAAAATCTTTGCTGGCCCAGATTCTTCATGACAGAGACAGACCTTGCCAAGCATCTGAACACAATACTAACCTCTCTGTATGATCACACACATTTTCCCTAACTAACCTGATGCAATTGAGGTTACAGAAGAAAATACTTTACCAGATACTTAAGATATCAAAGTAATCAAAGTAACAAAAATCAGGAAACTTCTTTCCAGAACATGTTTTCCCATCCCTATTGTCAGACTGAATCTTCTAAGGCAGTATTCAAAGTGCTATGGGCAGACCGTTCCTTCTTCCAACAACAAAAATATGAGGAATACCTTGAACTGTGTGTGTTCTAACTTAATCGTACTTCTTTGGTCTAATATAGCTCTCAACCTCTGATAGACTGTGTACAGTGGTTTAAAAACTGTATTTTATATTGTTTGAGGAGATAAGGAACAAGAGTAAATGGTTACTTTATCTTTGAAACCATGAGTGACGATGACTGGCATTCTGAGCTCGTCTCTGTAAGAAGAAGTTTTTCAACAACTCTGCAGTGGGATTAGAGTATTACCCTGCAAAAAAATATTTTCCTGACCCATCTGCAAATTTTGACAGTTTGACACCAGTGAAAGTATAAAAGGGCTTTTATTAAATGATACAATTGCTGTTTTACAGAGAAAGCAGGGATATTACTTTCCTTTATAAGACAGGGTAACTCCACAAACATGAGTGATTCCAGTACGAGTATCACTTAGGAGTATGATAGTTAATATGGTAATGCAAGTTACCATCTTCACTTAAAAAATTCTGTTGGCTACTTTGACAGAATAACAGCAAAAAGGGGGTCAACAAGCAGCAGCAGAATAGGAGGGTTTCTGATCTTTGGCACAGCATGTTGCAGAGAAGGAAGCTCAAGTAGAAGTAGTTAATGTAAACAAAGATTGTAGCGTTCTAGACATATTTACAGCCTGTGACTACAGTTCTGATATAAAAGAAAGTCCTTAGTCGTTAGTGCAGAGTCAGTGATGTCACTGGGACTACTTCTGTGCTTAAAATTGCACTTTAAACGAGGAAGTATACAGCATATTTTCAATTGATGTTGAATTCTAAATAAACACTTGGAATGTAGGATGCTTGGAGATCACAGAAGAGGCTTCTTACAGGGATGTATGATGAAGCTAATTGGGTCTGGTATGAATAATGTATTTGAATCTCAAGCCAAATGTTAACACGATGTTGAGGGAAACAACAGAACATATCAGAATTAATATCAGGAGTGCCATCAGTCTGTGTGTTCAACATGATCATACACCCTTGAAGTTTTGAAGAAGCATATGGAAGTCAATGGGCTTTTTGCAGGGAATACATGTACAAACATTTTTATAAGTAGCTTTATATCTCAGTCTCCACTACCCTGGAAGTGCCCCATTTCCAAAGAATATTGCAAGAAGAGGGAATACTTCCACCACAAAATAAATTCCAGAAGTTAAAAACCAAAGTTTTTGTAGAAACCATTGGAAACAACAAATATGCCAGAAAAACAAACCCCAAACCATGAGCTGCAAGAATTTTTCTATTAAAAACGCCTCCATACTAACCAAGAGAGTTCACCTTCCTGAAATACAGCTTAATAGGATGCGTTAATCACACACTCCTCAAAGTAAATAAATAAGATACAGTTTCTACTTTGCAAAATTAACAAATCAACTATTCTAGTAAGGGGTTTTTACTCTTGAGTTGGATAAAAACAGTAAGGGAATCTGTCTGAAAGTAATTTTCCACTATATATATGAATACATAACAGCAAAGCTGTAATGCAGGAAATATACTGAAATGAAAATTTCTAGCATTTAAATATGGGTAGTGTTCCCTCTCTCCCCACTCTTACTTATCTTCACAGAAACTCCATTCTAACACTTTGCTTAATTTTAGTCATTAATTATTTTCTGACCGAGCAATATCTTGGACCTAATAATGCTTTATATTAACACTGCCTGCTAGAAATTATAGATAATGTATTATCTAAAAGTTCAGTCTCATAGTTCTCTTTCGGTTAGCTACTGCTTGCCTAATAGGAGTCCGTATTTCAGTTAGTACTTGAAGGGCAACACGCCATATGCACAGCATCTCTTCCAGGGTTCGCTTATGGAACCTTCAAAACTGAAGTGCAAGAAGTTGCTGGGAAGAAGCCCCAGTCAGATGGCAGGCTCTAAAGCAGCACGGACTAGACAAACATTCAGCAAGGCTGACACCTAGTAAAACTTTAGTGAACTGCAAAGTGAATGTGAGACAACAGCAGAGCCTCAAGAAAGGCAGTCTAACACCCGGGTTTTTAGGGGAATCTGAGAAAAACTGCTGAGAGTAAAAGCCAAGTTTCCAGACGGACACAAGCACTTAATGGAAAATGAACCTAACCTTTGGAAGGGAAAGGTCTAAGGATTTGTTGTTTTCTTACCTGCGGATCTGAAAACAGCAGTCCTGTTTCCTTATGTGTTATTATTGCTGCATTCCCAGGAATGTTCCTTGCCAGCACCGGAATATCTAAATCCATTGCCTAGAGGTATATAGAGAAAGATAACAACAGTTTATTAGGATTCAGGAATTTTGACAACAATTTTAGAATGAAAAGCAGAAACAACAAACCAACCAAACTTTTCTTTCTTTATTTGAGATATCTCTCAAATTTTTCAGTTGAAAAATGCCATGTCTAAGGTGATCTCCTATATGGAACTTCTTGAAATATTTTGTTTATAGTTTTGTTAGTCTTGTAACTTTGAACATATTATCAGAAGCAATCAATCCAGAAAGTCAATAGATAGCTCTTTTCATCCTTTATTCTTTTCCGCCTCAAAGTAAGCAGTTTGTTTCCCATGGGAAGCTCCTAACACGTGGCAGGCTTTAAGAGGATAAAATCAAGGTTCAGATCAAAGGTTGGCATTGAAACTCCTACTGTTATTGTGCATAGATGTGAAGATTAGTTCATAGCAGAAACAGCCAGTTCTCTCCAACAAAGTATCTGTTCTATCATTCCATTAAAATGCATTTTCTCAGATTTTCTACAACATGTGTGGAACTGGAGAGATGTGGGCAGTTCAACGGCAGTAAATGTGACTGTGGAAACCACTTGGTGCTGATTCCTATGGATCCTGTAGGACTCTGGAAGGAGTTTTTATTTTGGCAGCATCTGTTGCTATAGCTTGTCTTGGACTTTGAGCATTCAGGGACTGCAGGGAAGCATGCAGTGCTGCTGCTTTTGACTGAGCTATATCGAGGAGGGGAGAGAAAAGGTTACGCTTTCAGAACGCATTATGCTTTCGAAACATTATCTACAAAGCTATTGGTATGGGACTCCTCAGAGACCAAGGAATACATCTGAAGAAACAGGATTTCATTCCACAGAAATTATGGGCTGGTTAGTTGATGTATTTATTCATTTATTTATATGTATATGTGCCTGCATGTATATACATAAAAAAAGGAAGTGTGGTGTCTCAACACGGTAGCATTTCAGGTTGCCTGCAGAATCAGGAGCAGAGTACAGCATCCATTCAAAGCTAGTAAACCATTTCCAAGAGACCTAACACCTGGCAACCTTTAAAAATACAGCTTAGATTTTGAAGTAACTAGTGTGCAAACCCTGGCCACTCAACTCTGTTATTCATGCATATCCTGATCTGAAACTTTAATTACTATTGATGAATTTGGAAGTCTTGAGATGCACTGACTGTAAAACCAGAAAAACTCATATTGTACAATTATCACAGTGTCAAACAAGAGAAGGAAATTCACTCCCCCAAATCTTCATGTTTCACATCACCATGTTTCATAGTGATTCCTTGTCATTTCAGAGTGAATGCATTTTTAATTACTGTCATTACACTCCCAGATGGGGAGCGATTTTGCTTCAGTCTACATAGCAAGAAAACAAAACTCCAAGGAGAAAAACATGCTTTTTTGTAGTTCGGACAAAACTAAGACAAAAATACGCTGGCTGATAATGCACAGAACCAATTATGCTTTGAACAGTGAAGGACTGCTGTGATTTAGCAACATGTCTTAATAGCTTAAAATAACCAAGAGAAACACTGTTTAACTCACCACTGCATATGAATTTACTCTGGGCATAGAAATTCTACAGTCTTCCTGGCACAAACATCTGCTCTGCAGCAGTTAGCTCTAAAAATAATGGTAACCCTTAATGAAATAACGTGTTCTACACTTTGTATCAGAAACTACTGGGTCAGTTGGAGGTAATTCAGATTAATGAAGTGAACACAAATCAGAATAAATAAATGGGAAATATAAAAACTACAGACCAGATTTCTGAATTTATCTACAGCTTTTTTAAAATAAAAAAAAAAAGTCATTTTGGTGAGAGGAAATACAGTTTTTGGTCATCCACAAATTATTTTGTCATTTGCTCTGACTTCAATGTTAAACAAAACAAATGTGTTTTTCAAAGGTAGATTTACAAAAACATACGATGACAGTATCTACTTATCAGTACAGCAAAGTTCATAGAACTTCAAAGTTCACCCAGGAAATGAGAGATGCCGGTGCCCCACTCTGCCTGACAGGTTTTAAGTCAGCAGGTTGAGGAAGTTCCCTTTGGCTTGAATTACCCAACTCTAGACCTAACACCAGGTTCCCACAGAAGCATCAACATCTCAAAGAGCAAGCAAATTGCTGATTCAGCTCTTTTTCAGCCCTTCCTATTGACGGACTTCAATGCCCTTGTGTTCAGTCTGCTGCCTGTTGATCTCATTCACACACGTTCAATGAACAGGGAATGAAGACATTTTACCTGAACTTCTGAACTGCAAATCGAGAGTTTAATAGTGGCAGTGAAGTGTGTCAGCATTCGTTGTCACCTGCCTAAGGCCCTCTCCTCACCTCTCTGTACTTCTCCTTTTACAAGACAAAACTGTGAGTGTATTTCAGGTCTGGCTTCTTTCCAAACATGAGATTGTCCATTCAAGGGAAAGTTAAAAAAAAAAAAAGAAAAGGAAAAAAAAAAAGAAAGAAAGACTCAAGGAAGAAAACACACAAAACACAGCACGACCACCCCAGGACTGATGGTTGGAAGTGCCACTATCCCCACAAAGAGTTACCTGCAAGACAGAAAGAAGTTTGGATTCAAGCATGCCACATGCAGTGAGCAGTGGGCACTGTGCCGTTGGGCTGCACATCGATAGTGATCATCAAACATGTGCATAAGTGCCCCTGTGCCAGTTCCATGTCGGACTGGCCCTAACGGTGTGGTTGCATAGGATGGCAGAGTATTGCTGACTGCAGGTTGCACTGGACTGTAGCGCAGGTTTAAAAAATTAATAAAGTGTCACAAGATATGTTCATTCACTTCTGTTTCTGAATGCTACATAGTTGATGATTCATTGAAGTTGATCACTAAGTTTGTATTTCACTTTCCATCATTTCTGAGCTCTAAAGGGAAAGACTTTTGTTCTGTCTCTCAGAGTTGGAGGGCAGTAACTGCTACATAAGAAAACTTTCAGGTCCCAAAACACATAGGTACCAATGAATTATAGCTACTGAAAGACAGAACAGATGGCCAAATACATAAGATGAGGGGCTGCCTTTATACCAGCTAGCCTTAAACAAATGGATTGGGCTGTAAATAATTACTGCATGAAGTGGCTTAGAATTTAATTTAGATACTTAGTCTATTTTTAAGCAGTAAAAAGAACCACTTGCATTGTTGGAAATATGTATAATTTACTGACCTAGGTTCCACTAATAATAGCATAAAATAACATTTTAGTCCATTGGCCATCTGTTTTGTTACATTATCCTGACTGCAAATGTGTTTTAATGCTATTTCAGAAGGATGCAGGGTGTAAATTTCAGCTTTGGAAGCATGTTACACAATAAGCATTTCTAACCAGCAGTATAGGGCTTATAGAGTAAATACAGGTTTTATTTACTATTTTGTTTTCTTGATTGTCCCTCATTTTCTTCCTCCTAGCCAATGCATCTTTTTGTTGGCCCCTCTTAAATTCTACTGCTCTACAATATCCCTTCTTTTTTTTTTTCTTTTCATTTTTATAGTTTGCTATGGCTTATATTCCAAACCACTAGGCCTGCACTTTACATGTTGTCTAAGACAACAGCAGAACAGAGCAGCCCTACAGCAGAACAGTTTGGCCATCTCCCTTTTCTATGATGACTTGATGACTTTTAATTTAATTGACTTTTTTTTTTTTTGTAAAAGCATAACAATCTGATGATTTTTACAGGAGTTGGAATACTCTTGAGAGTACAGAAAAAGTACTCTGATGAAATGGTGCTGGAGTCAAAACCTTTTTCTTTCCAACTATATAGAGAACACAGAAAATTTCCCAGTAGTAGTGCCTGTTTCACCACCACACGCCCAGGAACGTGCAGAACTCCTGAGCTTTTGGAGGAAGAGATGTATTTTAAATGCTTGCTATAATACTTGTTTTCTCTTTTTCAAGTGCCAAACAGAAAATAGATCAGTTGCGGCAAAATCTCAAATATATCAGTATTAGATGACAAAATCATTAGTTATGGATTCTAGTTCTTTCATACCTTAAGGCAGGTTGAAATAGATATGATTATATATTTATCTCATTTATCTATTATATATTTATCTCATACTAACACACTCTTTACGGATTCATGACTTCGTTAAATTTTGAACTTTCAAGAGAATGAAAGTTGCATTTCCAAATTCAAGCAAGATGTTTTCTCCAGCCTACGACCAAAAGACTTTTATACATAGTTTTCTGCCATATTAATTTAACAAGATCTTAACAGATGGCCCTTCCTACTGCTGGCCATCTCAAGCACGGACTTGACTTGATTAGATTGACACTTCCTCTGAGAGAGAGATTTTTTTCAGTAGGATATTTTATAAGCATGTCATCAGATACCTCTGTGCAACTGTCGAGTAAACAAAATACCAAAACCCTTACAACTTTAGAAGAAGAATTCAAGCAGGTGTGAGGTACTAAAGAGAGCCAGCTTCAGGTAGTTTCTCAAGAGATAACTAAAGACCTAATTCTGTTTGTAGAGAATCCTGACTCAGCTGGGACCGGAGCTGTTGTCTCACACCACCTGTGCCATGTCCATTAGACTTTCCTTCCTATAATGCAAGATTTCACTGTACACCTGTAATTGGTAACTCATTTACTTGTAACCAATACACACCTGAACTAGCACGCTCAGGCTTCTGAAAGCGTGCCAGCTCTTTTTATCACTGCTACATGACTTCCATGACAAACTCCAAGTTACGAGCTACCAGTTCAGAGATAAGGCTTTCCCTCCTCCACTATTCAACAACATGGCCAACATAGGACTGAGGCTGGTGAAAAGAAGTGGGTTACACCTATGGTTATAGATTTATTTTTTCTCCCTGTGAAGAGAATCTCCTGTCAGGAGATCATAATTTCCAAACAAGAATATGTCACCTTTTTACAGTTCTCTATAATAATTCTTAGATAACTGTACAGAGTAGGAGGAGTAACATAATACCTACAACAAAGGGTGAGCAGCTACCGGCTACCATCTCACTCACCAATAGCCCCACACTTCTGAACCGAACAGGGGACTGCGAGAGCAAAGCTCTCGGGACGCTGAGTGGCCCTCCACATGAGCACTGTCCCTGGTGGAGCAGTTCAAGAGGCAGCATCACAGCAGAAGTGTCCTACTAGAGAAACAATGGGAGATATTTCAGCTAGCTGCTCACATCCTGGTGTACCAGTATAAAATGAAATGGGTAGTGGTAAAATGTGAACTCTGACAGCTCAACAGCTCGTGTGTTTTCTCGTCTGCTGACTCTCTCCTAGTACTGGTAATTTCTGGTAGAAAAGCAAGGTAGGAAGTGAGGATTCCAGGAGAAAATATTCCACTTTGGAATATTTGAAACTGCATTTTATTTTCAACGTGTGATTATACATGAGCACAAACCAAAGCTGACCATTAGGTTTGAAATTATTCCAGCAAGGTAATAACAGAAGAAAGGAGAATAGGATCTTCTTCTCTTCTCTTTGGGAAAAATTATCACATAGAAGGAAATAGCTAACAGCCTACCAGAGGGCAAGTCTTACACTTAGAAGAGACAATTTAATTTTTCCACTATGGTCAGTTGCCAGTTTATTTTAGCATATTTAGCTGTCAAACTCAGATTAAGACAGATTAAGATTTAAAGGTAGATTAAATGTTGTTTAACTTTGTTTTTAGCAGCGTCTTCAGTAGAATTAAATGTATCAATCATAAGACTAGCCGAGGACATGACATGCACAGCTACATGTAAGATAAAAAAGTAATACTAACTAACCTACTATATATATAAAAAAATACATATGTAGAGAAATAAATTCAGCATGAAAAAATGAATACTTCTTGATGATTCATCCTAATATATACTTTTTTCTGGTGTAAGAAAAACATCAAAATGGAGAAAGCTAACTTTACAATTGTATATAAAGACATCCTGCATAGAATGCTCTTTTAGGATAGTCTTTTAATTCTTAGAGAAAGAAGAGAAATACAACAGGCAGTGTTCACTATTCTGTTCGTGTAGTGATTTTCAGTGAGAAAAACAGTTGTTGGAGGAGGTTCTTTTATTCGAGGGGGATGTGTGCGGTTTTTTTGACGGGTCTGGGTTTGAACTGGGAATAAATTACTCAACATAACTGTGTAGTGGAAATCTGAAGGGACAGCTTTCCACTACAGGTCATATTTGACTATTTAATAGCTCTGTAGGATAAATGAATACTTCAGCCACACAGAGAAGAGCTAAAAAAAACAAACCAAACCAAAAAACTTTCCTTGTTGACTTAGTCTTATAGTAATCAGATTCAAAACTTGTCAGAATTGCAACTTCAAAGAGGAGACAAAAAAATCAGGAATTCCTGAAGCAGGTTCACCATTACCTCTGAAGTAAACTGGCATTATCTTTTTGCTTTGAGTTACTACATATTTGTTAAGACACTGAACTTACAAGATTTCTCCCTCTCCTGATAAAAGCTAAGGAAAGTGCCTTTTAACTGCTCAAATCTGATGGGAAAATTTTGGGGCAAACTATATCAAATGTCCCATCAGTCCTGAGTTTGCATAACAATTTGTACCCAGCACACTTCACTTCTGTTGCAGATGCTGGGTCTCTGAACAGTCCCTCTGGTTTGCTTTTTTCCCCCCGTCTCTAACTCACTGACACACTCAGGAAATAAATCACATTGATTTTCGGTCAACTGTTAAGCGAGTAGTCCTGAAGAGAACATGTAACTGGTAAGGAGGAGGTGACAGTTACTTAACTTCTACTTCTCTGAGTCACTGACTTAATTGTGGCTGTGTACTGTGTTGGTACACTCCATTTCATCTCAACTACCGAACATACAAAATTTGTCTAGCCTGCCACACTGATAAGTTTGGAAATGTCACAGTCTGTAGTAACGGTTGTTTATAGAGTATTGTTGCTGTGAAACAGCATCTGCTTCCACCTCTAAGCACTGGCATTTTAGAAAGAAAACACACATTTGCTATCTTACCATCACCTAACTTTCATCATTATTACAATGCTCACTTAGTTCTTACTTATGAAGGACTTTCAGTTGTTTGGAAGAAAAGCATGCTGGAAATGCAACATGTGATTGCTCATTAGAAACAGAAATAGGAGATGCATTAATACAAATCATGTAACAGTTTCTGTGATCTTCTGAGATGATCACAAACCAACATTCAGCAGTTGCCCAAAACCATGGAATAGTAAAAGGCGTCCGCCCAAAGAACTCACACTTCAAGTAAATTTATTTTCTTCCTATTTGAAAGCATTTGATAGTAAGCAGCGCCCTACTTTGACAGGTATGAAATAAACCTGGTTATTAATTTTCAATCCTGATGGCAAAAAAATTAACAGAGCGTGTCATTCATTCATTAATAATTTCAGAATTAAATAACCAAATACAGCTCTTAGATTGCTTTTTGAAAGGATGTAAAAATAAATGAAAGTCTATTCTAGCAACATGATAAGGAATTGGATGTTGAATCAAGAATAGCAACAACCCCAGTAAATCAGAATGATTCTTATGTCTCAGGTTTGGATTGTTAATTTAACAAGATTGATAAAATTACATTCTATCCTTTAAAAAATAAACAGACAAAGCATAAAAACCTGTCAGTTTAAGGGAAGAAAACCTTAATTACTAACACTTGCAAAAAGAAATATTTTAGTTTTGTCTTCACTAGCTTTGAAACATGGACATAAAATGTTGACACACATCTCCAGTGGTAAAAAGGGGATTTCAGATTCACTGTAACCTCACTGAAAAACCTTACTGCTAAGATGCAATTACCTCCAGAATTGCAGCAGACATTCCCTCTGAAATGGAGCTGTTTACCACAGCAAAGCACCTTTTCATAGCAGCATGAAGATCATCTTGTGGCATCTCCTGTAATAAATGTACTCCAGGTGCCCTAGAAATAAAACGCACACAAACAGGACACCTCCTAAGAACGTGCTCTAACAACTCTTCCTAAAACTTAGGGCAATGATGGAAGGTGGTCAGAGGAATTCAGTCATGGTTCTGATGCTAACCATCGCTTGCCCATGGGCAAGCCACTTTACCATGTTTTCTTTAGCCTTCTATCTATAAATGCAGTTACAAACTCAATATAGTATACACTGCTATCTGCCACTTCATTATCTGTTGCTCTGTTTTTTTGTAGTTGATGACTTAACACCATGAATAACCTGATAGAAAACAAAAAACATTATCTCTTGCTCAAAAAATGGAATTGCAAAATGCAAATTTTATACAGATTTTATTATCAGATATTATCAATCAGAGATAATATGGTTGTTCTGTTCAAGTCAGCCAATTCTAGATTCTGCAGACACACAAAAATCTCATTTCTCTAACATTTATATCCTTCAATCAGGAAGCATATAAACTAGGGAGAGAAAAAAGCTGTACAGGGTTATCTTGTCCATCTACTCATTTACCCACCAACAGCAAGTATGCAAACCCAGGCTGAAAGAAAGAATGAAAAGACTCAAAAGAAGAATAAATATAAATCACACTAAATCAGATGTGATTTAACACAAAACATATAGACATCTACTGGTTATTCTAAATTGTAAAATGTGTAGAATACCTAGTCTGAGAATGTTACATGCCAAACAATCAGTACACATTTGTTAGTCATATAGAGGTTGTGTGTGTATGTGCATTTGGACATAGAAAAGAGCATTGACACACAATTTAAAAAGCTGGTCAGCCAACTGCTTTCACCTGGAGCAGATAAAAGGTTTAACATTAACTTCTTACCTTTCAACTTTTTCCTTAATTTCACTTGCAAAAAGTGGATCAACCTAGAAAGGAATATACACACAGGTATATGGCACTACTTTAGCACTATAGCGTATATTTGAAATACCCAGAAAAGAGAAATAAATTTTAGCATATTTTTTACTGAAATATTTAAATGCGTGAATATGCTGAGCTTTAAAACTATACCACAGATCTGTAACGTGGTAGTTACATTTGACTCTTCAGACAAACGCTCTCGTGAGTGATTGACACTTGGAATACCCAGCTAGGGGGTGAGCGCACAGTAGAGCAGAGCGTGAATTGATTACTCCACTCTAAACCTTTAAGTGACTCCTCTAATGCAGTGTAGCTTTGGGCCACTGTCAGGAGGGGAGGTTCCATTTCTTCTCCCCTGACATCCCTCTGGCTGCAGGTTCTAATTAGAGCTAGATCTATTTAACATGAATGACTGCTTTCAGATGACTCTGCTAAGGCTAACATGATTCAAATGACCGATTTGACAACTTACTGTCTAAGTGAGGAACAATGCACTGATGTGCCAAGCAACTGTCTGTCCCTTTATGTATGGAGTGACCAGTGTGGCAAAGGAAAGGAAATGTTCAGGCTTTAGTTAACACAGGAAGCAATCCGCATGTAAGCCGAGACAGTCAGATAGATGTTATGCACTGCCAGAAACATTTATTTGAAAACTAATAAACACAAAATTCTAAAATATAGTCTAACATGAAGGCATGCTAGAGTTATTAAAAAGTTGTCTAAGCTGGGCAAATAACTCCAGCAGGTTTATTTACAAAGCTTAACTATGTCTGCTGTTTTCATTTAACATGATTAAAAGAAATAAACAGAACTTGGAAATCCTTAACTAGACATGAAGAACAGAATTAGACTTTTTTTTATCATGGTTGACTGACTGTATTAGATTAATTTATGATAGCTTGCAGAGCATGCAGCAGTTTTAAGTACTGGGAACAACACAGCTTTTTTTTTAATTGCATGCTAATATTTTGGGTTTGGTGGTTTTTTTCACATTATGAGATAGAGAACACTTATAAAGCATTTTAGAAAACTTTTGGAAAAAAGTCAGGATTTATTTTATAGCTATGATTGTGTACTTTGAACACAAGATTAATTACTTCATGAAAACAGGGCTTCATAAATTAAAAGATTCAAGCAAATCACTCTTGTACTAAGGAATGAATTCCTACTGAATGCAGGAAATAAAAGGCTTGCATAGCTACTTCTAGAATCCTAGAATGGTTTAAGTTGGAAGGGACCTTAAAGATCATCTAGTTCCAACCTCCCTGCCATGGGCAGGGACACCTCCCACTAGTCCACGTTGCCCAAGGCCACATCCAGCCTGGCCTTGAACACCTCCAGGGATGGGGCAGCCACAGCTTCTCTGGGCAGCCTGTTCCAGTGTCTCACCACCCTCACAGTAAAGAATTTCTTCCTAATATCAAATCTAAATCTCCCCTCCTTCAGTTCAAAAACATTACCCTTCATCCTCTCGCTACACTCCCTGATCAAGAATCCCTCTCCACCTTTTCTGTAGCCCCCATCTGATCATCTTCATGGCCTCCCCTGGACTCATTCCAACAGGTCCATGTCTTTCTTATGTTGGGGGCTCCAGAGCTGGACGCAGTACTCCAGGTGGGGTCTCCCCAGAGCAGAATAGAGGGGCAGAATCCCCTCCCTCCACCTGCTGGCCACACTGCTTTTGATGCAGCCCAGGATACAGTGGCCTTCTGGGCTGCAAGCGCGCATTGCCGCCTCATGTTGAGATTCTCATCCACCAACAACCCCAAGTCCTTCTCCTCAGGGCTCCTCTCAATCCATTTTCTGCCCAGCCTGTATTTGTGCTTGGGCTGGCGCAATCCCATGTGCATGACCTTGCACTTGGTCCTCCTTTTTTCCTTTTTTATAAATGGGGGTTATGTTTCCCCTTTTCCAGTCAGCAGGACCCTCATCAGCCTGCCATGACTTCTCAAATATGATGGACAGTTGATTGGCAACTTCATCCACCAGTTCCCTCAGGACCTGCAGATGAATCTCACCCGGTCCCACGGAGTTGTGCACCCTCAGGTTCCTCAGATGGTCTTGGAACTGGTCTTCTTCTACAGTGGGCAGTTCTTCATTCTCCCAGTCCCTGCCTTTGCCTTCTGCAACATGGGTGGTGTGGCTAGAGTCCTTGCCAGCAAAGACCAAGGCAAAAGTCATTGACTACCTCAGCCTTGTCCATATCCCAGGTGACCGGGTCTCTCATTTCCTTCTGGAGAGGGCCCACATTTTCCCTGGTCTTCCTTTTGTCACTGACATACCTATAGAAGCTTTTCTTGTTGCCCTTGATGTCCCTGGCCAGATTTTACTCTACCTTGGCTTTGGCTTTCCTAACCTGATCCCCTGGCTGCTTGGACAATTTTTCTGGATTCCTCAACATTACATTAGAAAGTAATTTTGGTAACAGCAGGGGCGAAAATCAAGTGCCCTTTCCTGAAGCACTGCTTGATCCTGGTGATCCTGAGTATGATACAGATCCATACACTAAACTAGTACGTCACAGGTTCCTTGGGTATTTCATACTGAAGTTCACAATTGCTATTTCTAGATAAATATCTTTTCAGCTTTATCCCTAAAGTACTATTTTGATGTTGAGTTCCTCTCATGAGTTTCCATCAAAATCAATAGAGTACTTGTAAGTGATTTAATGAGCACTGGGATATGGTCTTTTGCTGTTCTACCTTTAGAAGGATGAGAAAAACTACAGCCCATGACTCATAAAATTTGTAAGATATTAATTTCTATCCCATCTACGTCTGTGGAAGCCAAGAAATTGCCATCTGCCTCACAAACAGAACACTCCTTTAAGCTGTGTTCTTCTATTGGTAGATATTCCAAGAAGCCTGGCCTGAATATGAGAATTTAGTTAAAATATTACTTTCAGGATGGGTGTAGCAATGACTTAGAGAAGTGATCCCCCTGAGCTACATTTAGGAACTTGAGGGGGCACAGTTATCTAACCACAGGCTCAATATAACAGAAATTAGATACAACATAAGCTGTTCAGTAAGTTGGAAATGCACTTAAGATGTGAATGCCTCCAAAGCTAACTGACTATGGCAGGATGCCTAGGAACTTAGCACAGTCTCAGGAAAAGCTACTGAAAAGAAAAGAATGTTACTTCCACCCAAAATGTCTCCACGATCCAGTTCTTCTACCGATAGAGCATTTGTTGCCAGATTTTATTTTGTTACCTATCAACGTAGCAGGCAAATATGATCATCAGTTACCTATTATCTTTTGTTAAAAAATCATCCATCCAGAGGAAAAGCCTTCAGAGAGCTGCAAATTTCACCAATTTAGCAGAGATCAGAGGAAAGCAGCTTGCGTTGTATGAATAGTTTCTATCAGAACAGATGAGATAAGATGACATATGGAAAGGGGAGTGGGCACATAGGAAGAAACCACACCTAACAGGACCAGATATGCTATTAAGGAAGTTCTGCTCTGCTGACAGGCAAAGAAACATCTGAGACATGTTTGACAGTGCAGAAAGTCACAGATCAAACTCTGCACAAAGATGAAGGCGCCTGTTAAGCACAGGGCCTACCATGATCAAAATCTAGGAACTCTTCTATAAACACACTATATTAAATTGCTGGCACATAACAATTAACTCCGACAGAAGCAATGGAATAGGCTGCCCAGGGAGGTGGTGGATTCGCCATCCCTGGAGGTGTTTAAAAAAAGGGCAGGTGTGGTACTTAGGGACATGGTTTAGAGGTGGTTTTGTCAGGGTAGGTTGATGGTTGGACTTGATGATCTTAAAGGTGCCTTCCAACCTCAGCAATTCTATGATTCTATGATTCTAATGGTCCAGAAAGATCTTCATTATAATGCTGGGACTACTGTGGCCCTCTAGACTTCGTAGGGAAAAACATGTCTTCGTACATTTAAAGTTCTGTCAGAATATCACCCTGAATACTGAAGAGTGAAAAGCTGTATCTGCAAGCATGTGCAATACGGATAGGAAGAATTTTCTCAATTGCTGGGGTTTGTGAGGTTTTGACAGCATCACTGTGAAAGGAATCAGCGTTATTCACAGCAGCAGGTGACCCCACATTACAATTTTTACTGGATCGATTGTTGAATAGGCTCAGCAAGATCAAGCTTCCCCTACAACTGAAAACACCACTGATGTCTGCAATGCAACACAATCTGCCTGCAGCAAATGCACCATTACTCAGAGTAAGAAGTGGGCTTCAGGAGGTTACCCAACAGCTGGACACAAGTTTTGTGGCCTTAACTTTTTTAAAGTTTCATAAGCTTCTATTCTTGGAATATAGAGCTGCTGAAAATTAGCAACTGTTTCAAATTTCTTTATGGAAACGAACAAAAGGCAAACTGGAAAAGGAGATAAATGCTAAAAATTGTACATTATACAGGACCAAATCCAGCAACATTACTTAGATTGCACCATTTGAGACAATCATGCATAGCAAATGCAGGGAAAAGGTTATAATCTTATGGAAGCAAAGCAGAAAATAGTGGGTGGGCTTTTGTTCTTTATATTCTTTATTAATATATTCTTAATGTGTGGGGTTTTTTAATATTCACAATAAACATGACTTGTTTCACAGATAATGGCACTGATTTTCTTAAAATTTTGTGGTTTGAGAAGTAACATGAATAAGAAAAGTACAGCTAAATACTAATGGAGCTGAAATTTATTTTTGTCTTTTAGCAATATTTTAGTACTATGGGAGAAATATGTTTTAAAATGTTTTAAGGAGGTTCCATCCTTGAACCTGCCTATGTACTGCCAAAGGGTTATTTCTGGTAGCTTACTGTAAAGATGTTAGCTTATGAAAAAGTGAAGCAAATTTAAAAAGATGACTAAAATGTTTGAAAACCTTACTGGAGGCAGAAAGTGCATCTTTTGATTCTAAAGCACAGCTTCATTACACCTGCTCTAGATTTGCCTTCCACACCAGTTCACTTCCAAATCATTTTGTGTATTAGCGTGGAAAAATACAGATAAAATAAAAACGTAAAACCAGCTTTTAAAAATAAAATCCTATGCCCCAAATTTAGAAAGAACAAAACTGAATGAGAAAAATAGAAAAATAGTTCTTATTTTCCTATTCAGATTCTATTTATTTTCTTATAAAACAGACTGGCTGCAAGTTTTCAGGCTCATGGAAGAGGAATGAGAGATGAGAGTTATGGAGGCACATGAACACATTACCCAGATGAAACAGTGGAGCTTTTAGTATCCTTTTAACATCAGCAAGAGCTTGTTCCATGTGACACAGCTGCCTTCTCATACCTTTTTCACTGGTTAGAAAGGCTACAGGCTGCCTTTTCAGGATTTCTGCTGCTATGGATATACATGTAGCACAACTGATTTCTTTCTCAAAAGTCCCGCAATTAGTTTTGTTAGTTTAGCATAAAGTATGTTCCCTTGACAAAGGCAACATGCTAGAAGCAGAAGCAGCAGCAGGACAGTCTTCCTGCAGCTCCACCTGTTCCCTGGGCAGTGCTGTGGGAAGCTGTGGGAACAAACCTCATTTGCGCAGAATGAGAAGCACTTTGGTGGCTCAGAGGCATCTTTCCCCACTCTACCTCACCAACATACAGTGCAGTCACTACTGTTGGGGATCTGGCCCACGGCAAATACTGTGCTGGCAAATATTTAGGTAGGGTATTGGTTAGACTGAGATTTGAGAAATATTCACTTTCTCTCATGGTTCTGAAAATAATGATGCGTTTTGTATTTTGCACTTTTTCAGCACTGTACTTAACAGAAATCATGAGAACATTTACATGTTCATTGATTGTTCCTTTCCAAAGGCCTCAGTTTCTGCAGGTGAAATCTCAAAGTGGAAATAACTGGAAACAACGGTGCATGCTCAAACACAAAGTTTTAAGAAAAGAAAGGATTGGCAGAAAACTTATGCAACCCTTTACCCCCTTTTAAGCATTCAGAACAGATTTAGACTTGGCTAACGTGACGCATGCTTCCCTCTTCAGAGAAGTTCAGTCTTGTTACTTCCTCAAAAATCATGCTATTTGATTTAAAAATGATGGGGTGGAGTTGGGAGGGTTCAATAGCTTTTCTTGTTTCATGCTTCATAAGCTCACATTTTCAAACCTTTCTCCACAACTACAAAAAGATTATTTCATAATAATGACTGCGATGATAGTTTTGATTATAAACTCTTTCAGGAGCTGGTGCTTCATGAGAAGCAAACCGTTGCTGAGAAACTCTTGACAACATTTTGAGATGGCAACCCAACTGTATGTTTTATCCAAAGAGAGTTAGCAATTACAGAAGAGCTGCCATTTAACTGATCAACCCTGTTGTGAGAAGAGAGAATTAGAAGTTGTAACTTCCAAATTTGTTAAACAGGGTCTTTATGACTTACACGGAAAAAAATGAAATCTCACATTAATATTGGCCAGCACTTCTACTAAAATACATATAATTCATTTGGGAAGGAATGATACCAACTCTAAGCTTCATCTGAGATGTGGACATATTAGAACTCAGTTTCTGATTTTGTTTATTTTAGTCAACCCTACCTTCCCTCTCAGATATCTGTATCCCAGGCTTTAGTGCACTCAGACTCTAAACGTGAAACAGACTTCACCAATTTTATTTGTGAGCTCAAGCTCTGACCTTGCTGTCTGGAGTCAGACAGAAACCTAACATCATTTTGCACCTGCTGACAACTGTTAATTGTGTACAAATTGAGACTACCAGAAATGGCATCAAAATCTAAATGGAACGGAACAAAGACACAATCCTCCATGTGAACAAAAGACGTAAGAACAGGGATAATGAGCATCAGATATCACCTTCACAGTATTAAAAATTCTCATTAACAATACCTGCTAAAAAAATTCTTCTAGATAGCAACTATTGCCTTTCAAAATATTTCATAGGCTCACTTATAAATTATTCATATTGAAATAGGCATTTCTAATATTTTATTTGCATTAGTACTTTCTGATTCTCTAAAAAAAAAAATAGTATCCCACAGGTATAAAACCAGAAGCCAATCTTAAAATCCAAATAATTTTATACTCTTTATCTTCAAAAGTTGATTCTGTAGTCAAATGAAACACTTAAAATTTTGCTCTGAGACCATAATAGATGAAAAGCACTACCAAGTCACGTGCTTGAGCTAAACATAAAATTATAGTAATCCAGCTGCAAATGCCCTTTATAAAATTAGCGCAAGCCTTCTAAATAAAAACAGTCAGTATATGTAAAACAAACCTTCAGCTGCTGTAAACTATTTTAGTTCTACTGATAACAGTTTGCATTAATAAAAACCTAACTGAACAGACCTGGGCTACCTCAGTGCATTTTCCTCTTACAAAAACCCTCTCAGCTGCTTTCCCTTTTGCAATGGAAAAGCCGAGCACACGCTGAGTGAGGGGCCTTTCAGCTGATAGCAGAACTCTGAACTTTGGAAGTCGGAGCACTGGAATCGCTTCCACTTCCACAGTTCAGACCTGTTGTGAACAGCCTTTGTAACTGCTAGGTTTGTACCTTCTTATCTCTGTAACAGGTAGAAGTCCTCTGACTTAGGTTCAGTTTGGAAAGAATTACTGTGATATCTCAGATACGAGTAAACAGAAGTATTTAGGAATAAACGTACAAATAAAATGAAAATTACAACAACAACTTACTGCAGGTCCGATTATGCCCAGATGGACACTGGGATCCTTTCTGTGCCAATCTAAAACAGACGAGGAACATCTTTTTTATTAATAAAAATTATTAATCTTTTACTTAATTTAATTCTTTCTCTGAAATCAATGTAAAGAGCTGCATGAATAAAGAAGACTTAGGCAAATATTGAATTATTACTTAAAACACTAAATGCATACCAGATTTCATGCTCAGCCCTCACATTACTCCTCAGAATTCAAATGATTAGCATATCTGAAAGTTAGTATTTAGCATTTCCGCTTCATGCGGTCTCTTATGGTTCAAGGGCTATTTAACTAAGCACAAATATTAATTTTAAATCATCTCAAGAGAACAATGCTCTATAGAATGCAGTGACTCTGGCCACTAAGACAAAATGATTTGAATTTTTCCTCCTATGTAAGGAAATGTGTGGAAGCAACTGCACCCATTACAATTAATACTTAGTTATTGTGTGCATAAGAGAAATCTGCCACTCTTCCAATACCAGAATAGAACAAAACCAGTTACTTGACTTTAATAAACTGCATTTGTTACTAAGTGTCACAAGGTGGTAAAGGCTTAGAAAAATAAACTGAATAGTGGAGCCTGAATCCCCAACTTGGAATATCTAAACCTTTTACAGACACACACAGAACCTGGCAAAACATTCATCCACGTGACTACAAGAAAACTTCAGCCTAGTTTACAGTGCTGAGCCATAATGATGGGTGGTAAAATTTTCTTGTAACTTCAATGATATTAATTAGCACACATGCAAAGTGGTGTAACAGTCAAAGGACAGTAAGACAAAAAAAAGTTATTCTGAAGTAGGTGAACTCTTCTTTTGTCTTCCATTAATATTGTATATAACAGCAGAATAGTTTTCCCAGAAAGTAAAGTCATCAAATATTGCTTTGATTTTAATGCCCTGTTATTCCCAGCAGGCTGGAAAAGACACAGTACAGAAATAATGTATTGAACAGATCAATGGTTACATGAGCATTTTAAAAAAAATGTAAATATATTATGACATTTTCTGCAATGAATAAAACAACTTATGCCAAACTTAGAAACATTAAAAGAAACGCATCTGCATCCAGGAACAAAACAAGGATATTCAAATAGCAGGTACCTACCTGAAAATACATCTACTAAATACAGAGGATCTTTGACTCTTCGAAGTCCGCATATCAAAAGAAACATGTGTAAACTGCCTGTATCCATAGGAATGTCTGTAACAAATAATTTTAAAAGGTCTGAATGCAGATAAAAAACCTGAATGCTCCAAGTTGTTTCACAAATGAACACATACAGTGGTAAAAGCAGTAACATGGTGGATTATGAAAAATTTTCATTATTGTTCCCTCCGTTTCTTGCTGTCACATCAGTCCTCAAATCAACTCAATGGAGAACTTAATCATGCACATCATTTTATAGGGCACAGCACTTTATTTCCAGAGGCAGTGAATGTGCAGGATTTGGAGAAATGGCTGGTGGCCAGTATTCTTGAACACCAGAACCCAGCTTTGGCTCACTCAGCAACTATACAAATCTGTTCGTTTCTCAAAAAATGCATCCATGTAATAACACTTATTTCAACGATATTGTGAGGTTTAGTTAATCAATGGCTGTAAGGATTAGAGCTCTTGATCTGACACTTTCTGTTATAAAAGATCAGGTAAATATCCCATAGTTATCTATCCATAATGCACCAGCACTGCTACAGAATAATTAACCAGAAGTTAAATTATTGCAAAGCATTTATTTTAACCTTATTGCTAAGAAACACAAATGAAAAATAATTCGGGAAAAAAATCTCAACCTGGGAGTTTTTAACACTGAAAATCTCTCTTGTAAATACACAGCAACCCATAAAAAAATAATTTTGTAGGCTATGTAAGAAAAAAATCTGATGTATGATATTGCAGTTGCCATTGGCTTTATGACAGCACAATTAATTCAGAACATACTAATGGAGAAGGGTCACTACGTGATTAACTTTGGTAAAATGTGTTTATGATAAAACAACATAATTCACAAATTGCTGAATGAACACACATAACAACAACATAATTTAATAAACACTAGAGGGGTTGAAATGTTCATGTTTGATTTACTGTACTGAACAAATCAGTTTGCTGTCCTTCAGTTCACCTGTTTATGGAGCTCATGGCAAGGATGGATGACGTGTATTACCTAACACTAGGCAGTTCAACAAGGAGCATCAAA